TATATATATATATATATTCAGTGTTTTGCTTTCAGAAAAAAGAGATCTGATGTTTTCCAACCACAAAAATCTCAACTACAATAGGTTTCACCTGTTTAGAGAGCAACTCTTTGCACAGGGTGTACAGAGTGATGAACTTCCCAGCAAGGATCCGAGCATTGACAAACCCTTCAGTGACCAGCATGATTTCACAGATCAACTCGAAGTCCGGCACCACCATGGCACAAGGTCTGAGGGCCAGAGTGAAGATGGCACTCAGCGATTCTATTCAACATTTACTTAAACTACTGAGGCTTTACTTTAGTTTCAGTTGATCCAACAAACAAAAGTGGTACCTGAACAGAGCCTTCAGGTTCTCTGGCAGCTCAGTCCGACCTGCATACCCTGGATTCATCGTGATGAAGATTCCCACAGAAGGACAAAGATTAACCTCCTCCCCCATAAAGTTAAACCTCTGCTTCTTATCACGGATAGCATCCTGAATGCTTTTCACCTGCAAGTGAACATAATGCAGAAAACCACGTTTAGTTTCTCAGACAACAAAAACTCTTTATGAACAAAACAAAGTGTCTTTACAGCAATTTGAAAATGCATGAACAAATAATGAAATAAATCTTTTATTTTCACATTTATGTTAATGTTTATGATTGAAGTCAAGTTTTTATTTGACACAACTTTACTAACACCCACAAGCAAAGGGTGATGAAGGGCATGTGTTTATCAGTGTGTGCATGCAACTTTTGTGTATCTATCTCCAACGCAAAACATCAAAAACAACTAGAAAATTTTAATGTGATGTAAAAAGTAATCAGTGGATGTACTGTATATCTGATTTAAATTTTGAAGTCAACCTATTTCAGGATGGGTAGGTTAAAGGATTTTCAGTCAAGGGATATGAACTTTTACTGTGTTTTTATATTGCGGCTGAGAACATCTTTCCCTCCTGCCTTGAGAACCATCTGTCTATCAAAACAACCTCTTGTCTTCACCGGGAGGCTGACTTGCCAACTCACAGTGACTCATCGGTGTTGTCGCCATAAGAACATGCCCAAAATATTTCCTAATCTCTTCAGGGAAGCAGTGGCTGAGTGGTTAGAGCGGTCATTCTCCAAAGGGAGAGTTGGGGGTTTGATTCCACCAGCAGTCACATGCTGAAGGATCCCTGGGCAAGACACTGAACCCCTCATTGCTTCTGATGTGTGTGCCATATGTGTATGAATGTGATCTAAAGCAATGATTGGTCTCAACAGATTCAGATATTCTTTGTAGAGATGTAGTAGAGAGCTGTATGAATGTGTGTGTAGTAGAGTGCTGTATGAATGTTTGTGCAGTAGAGAGCTGTATGAATGTGTGTAGTAGAGAGCTGTATGAATGTGTGTGTAGTAGAGTGCTTTATGAAATGAATGTGTGTTCAGTAGAGAGCTGTATGAATGTGTGTGTAGTAGAGTGCTGTATGAATGTGTGTGTA